AGATGGATGGTTAAAGGGGGCAGCGGACAATTCGAAAACTAAAAAGGGCCGAAAGGCAAACAGAAAATCTTCACCGTCGGACTTTCAACAAAGGACATCTGGGACAGAGAAAGCTACATTTGGTCTACAGATGCAGATGGATAACAGTCCCAGTCCTGATATCAGAAGTCCTATCGATGGACACTGCAATCCTAGCACACATACCCCAGACAACCTCAATGTTGTGTTGGCAATGAACCAAGAACTACAGCAGGAACAGGAAGTGCTTGATAACAGACCACTATCTGATCGTCAGAGAGGATTCACAGTAGATATTAATGACAACAACATCGATTCTGGCCATAGCCTACCTGCTCATGATACCTTATCATACTCTCTGACTCCACTGTCTTCCTCCCCATCTCCTGTTTCCTCTTCCTCCCCTCTACCATGTGCCTCAGCAGAGCCAGAAGATGATCTTCCCACACCTGTTCAGGAATCCCAACCTGTCCTATCAGCCCTGCATCAGCCTTCCCTGTCAAAATGTCACACCACCCCTACACTTTGCTGTACCTCAACCAAAACACAACAAGCCCCTGATCCCCAATTTCTCCCTAACAACAACAACAACCTCAAAGAGGCCACTGTTGTCTTTTCTGCATCAACTACATCTACCACAAGTGTCTCTCCGCCATCATTCTCCACTGCCATGCTGTCAAGCCTATCCCAGCCTACCCAGGAGTCATTTTTACCTGCTCCTGAGACTCTAGATTCAGCATGCGTGGCAGATTTGATTTCTCGTCCCCAGTCTCAGAACAATCTCAACATCCAGCCACACAAACAAATCAAGCAAGGTTGCCCATGGAGCACACAAGACAGATTCAGAGGTGAGTATAGAAATTAACGCTTGTTTGATTGAAAGCACCTTGCACTACACACTGAGGAATCCTTCATCATTTTGTAACAGTCAGTTTGGTAAACAGTAAAAGTTGGGATTTTTAAAACAATAAAATGAATCACAATGCTTTATTCGTCTCACAGCAGGTAAAAAGGTACAGTGCAGATAAAAGGCAAAAGCGTAGACTAACATATTAAATAAAAAGGCAAGCACACGCTTATAAGAATCTATGTAAACAAGTCAAATGCAAGGTTCGTAATACAAATCTGATCAAGTATTGTTGTGCTCTGTAAGGTCCCAGCTTGGCCGAGGGGGAGACAGACAGTGAGGATGATTGTGGATTGCCTCGACGTGGTCACAGATCCCAGGCCAGAGGAGTGGCAGGAAACAGAAATGAGGCCATGTGGAGAGAGTCTGGTCCATCCAATCAGAGGGAAATGCAGCCTTTCTCTGCCCACCAGATGTCCAACAGACAGTCAGGCTGTCCAATCAACCACAGCCACAAGATTGCAGAAGAGTTCGACCTATCCTTCAAAAACAATTGTGAGTTTCTTCTGACCTCCTAAGGGATATAAGGTTCAACACTAGGAATCCTCTTTAACACTTTATATATCTCTCATCTAGTTCTACACTAGGTGATCCACAGTGTTCTATGTTACATATTAAAGGTGTTTGAATATCATTTTGTTAAATTGTACAGAACAGCTGTAGTTTTGCTTTGATGACAGATGATAACACAAGAGACGTAAATCTTCTGCATCATAGTTCACTGAAATAAAATTACATACTATGCAGATACGATATAATGTATTTTCCATGGGATAATTAAATTTCCTGATGTTGATTAGATGAGTTTATGAATTTCTGTAATGAACACTCTTCATCAGCAAAGCATTAATGTGATAGAGTCACTAATGCCCTCATTACTCCTACAATGACGATTAGTTTCCATGGCATAAGGATATAATACACTTTATCTAAATGTACTTGAATTATTTTTAAATAAATGCTTTTCTGCAGGCTCTATATTGGCTTCCTGTAATGAGTCTGAGAGTGAGGGGTCAGTGCCTGAGCTGGAGGAGCCGGAGCCTCTGAGACCATCAGAGCCCCAGGTGAGACAGTTCATGCTGAAACCATCTTATTTTTTTAATTTTAATCAATACTAAATTAGGATTGCATTTAGATTATGTTGAAAAAAAGGGTTAGGGTTAACCCTAAATCAAATTTTGTTTTTTCAAGATCTCGACATCATTTTTTAATGAGGCAACTGTTGCTTAGACTTACAGACTAAAACCTACGAACTGTGTAATGTGGAGAAGATCTTGACTTCACAAACTAGTATTGAAGCTGAGAAAAATATGAAACAAAATGTGGCCTTCTGTATTCAGGGTATCATTGTGGATAAGCATATGTTTGCATTACCCAGAGATAGCCTGCCTTTGGCCAGATTGCTTTTTAAGTTCAGTTGATTACATTGAAAATGCCTTTCTTCATTTATCGATATGGCACATTTTGGCTCTTATATATATGTATTTTTTGTACTTGATCAAATTGCTGTCACTGCTGTTATAACACACAGAATGCATAGCTTCCTGTGTGTGCAAGAGAAAACAAAACTGTATGGCATCAGCAAAATAACAGTAGAAACCTAAAAATAAGACGAGTCAAATGTGATGACATTAGCAATACTAATGAATGAAAATGTTATAGAATATAAAAATATAGTAATAGATATTTGCTTTTTCTTTCAGTCTATTTCCTATGCAGATGAAGGGCTAAACCGGCCAAAGCAGAGCCGCAGTGAGAAGAAGGCCCGCAAGGTTGGATTCCTTACTGTATACAAATAAACAAATCAAGATGGAGGCTATATGACACCAGTGTTAAATGTATGTAATTGTGTCCTTCTTGCTCCCTCTCTATACTGCTGTGTTTGTATGTAGGCTATGTCTAAACTTGGTCTGAAGCCGGTCCATGGTGTGACCAGGATCACCATTAGGAAGTCCAAGAGTATCTTGTTTGTCATCACCAGACCAGATGTGTTCAAAAGCCCCGCATCTGACATCTACATTGTGTTTGGAGAGGCAAAGGTTGGTCTTTCTTAAATTGGTCTTATTCAAGCTTTGGTACATGTATTGGTTTGCCTCTCAACCTCTCCAATCCTCTCCTCTCAGATTGAGGACCTATCTCAGCAGGCTCACAAGGCAGCTGCAGAGAAATTCAAGGTGCCTGTGACCTCTTCTCCCTTGGCCCCACCTGTCCCTCCCAGCCTCACCATCAAAGAGGAGAGCGAAGAAGAGGAAGAAGAGGTACTTTCTGTCTAATTTCTTAAAAGTGTTCACACTATCAACTCTGTACACTATTTTATTTAGTTGTTAACTTTATCTCTCCATCTATCCCTCCCTATCTATATTTTCCCCCCTACATAAGGTGGATGATGGTGGTCTCGAGCAGAGGGATATCGAGCTGGTCATGGCTCAGGCCAATGTGTCACGCGCCAAGGCCGTCCGTGCACTGAAACACAACAATAATGACATTGTGAATGCTATCATGGTAAGGAGAAGGAGACCGAGGGAGTGAGAGAGAGAGGGAAGATTTAGAGGATGGAGGGAGGGCAGATGGTGAACAAAATAATGAGTCATAGCCAGTGCATGGAGGAGGAGGGATGGAGGACAGGAGAGCAGGGGACAAATGACAAGAAGAGTTTCTCCCCAGTAACTGAGCATCCTCCACAGTTCACCGGTGCAGTATCATGTCCACTAGGTGGCAGTATTTACTCACACTGAAATGACTGAGCTGTTGAAGTGACGCAGTAAAAAATTGTTCATGATGGGGTAAGAAGCAAGATAGAGCTGCATTAGTTCACTAGAAAAAGTTGATGAAGGGTGAAAACAGAGCCTCTCATTCTGACTTTCCCAGGTGATTGTATTTATTCAAGCAGAGTGACATGTAGAGTGTCTTATCTCTTATTTTCAATAGCAGAGAATAGACAAAAAAATAAAGAGAAATAACTATAATTTAATAAAGAAAAATCAGTTGCATGTTTTGTTTCCAACGTAACCTTTTTATTCATGATGATAGGTTTTCTCCAACCACCTCATTCTCTATCTTTCTCTCCTTTTTCCATGCAGGAGCTGACCATGTGATCGGTGAGAACGATTTTACTCCTGACCCCCCTCCTCCAGCCTATAAAGCCTAAACGCCACTGACTCTTCTGTATCGCTGCTACTGTATGTTGCATCCCCAATATCTGCTAAATAAAGTCTGTTCCAATGTGGGCTGTGACTGCATTGCAATATTAATTTCACTGAAGGGGTAGCAGTGTTATGTTTTGTTGAAACTTGTTTTTACAAACAGAGCAGTAAAGCCTTTCACATTCTTCAAATTCAAAAGGCATAGGATTAAAACTACCACCATTTTCAGTATTAGCACCTATACATCTGTACAAAAAATAGTTGACATATCATACATAAAACTATCAGTTGTTTAAAATGTTTTGATTTGAACAACAGGATTCAAATGTAAAAAAAAAAGCAACCTTAATCACAGAATTGGAACCTGCTCAATCAAACTTAGTGACAACAATATAGGTAAACATGTAAATTAAATTCATCTTAATTGACTAACGTATTTAGTTGTATGCTCATATTTATGCTAATTTCAAGGGTTAACAGGCCTGTTTTCCTAAAATATGAGAAATTGAAAACACATAGAAGGCTTATTTTCTATATTTTTCTCAAACTCTTCACGTGAAAAAAATGTGGGTTGCTATTTTATTATGCCAAGGGTCAGGCAATAAGCAAGGAAAACAAGATTTCTAGTAATTGCTTTTTAAAGGAAAATGTGCTACTCATATTAAAAAAATACTTTGCACTGCTAATTCGTTTTGGGATTATGCAAATCTCACAATGATTCAGACCTTTAATATAAACCTTGAAAATATTAATTCATTAATATGTATACAACTGCTTACATTTACTAAAGCGTTTCTATATTTATCATATTACACAGAGTTAACATTTGCCAGCACTGTGTCAGACGGAGATCTCACATTTGGTTCTGTTTTTCTATCTCGTATAATGTCACACAGTACGGATGACACAAGAGTTCCCAGAGAGATGCTAAATGCATTTCTGACAGTTTATCAACTTTATTTTATAAAACTGGTTAGAGTACAAAACAAATGTCCCCAGGACATTACTTTGACAAGTAATGGCCATAACAAAAACTTGTACCACGCATGTTGAGTCATGATGTTAAATTACAAGCAATGACACCACAAGTAAATAAAAAAACATGTCCATTACACTTGGTTTCCATTCTAACTCCAATGTAGATGTGAGGCTATAATGTTTATCAGTGTGTGAAATGTTGGCATTAGTGAATGAAATACTTTCACAGGCAATGTTATTGAAATAAAAACTGTCCACATAGTCACTTGAAATGTTTTGTTAGCAAAGCCAAACAGTAGTGGTTCGTTCATTCTAAACACTATCATACAGGTCTCTTTCCAAATCGTAAAAGTCAAAGCTATTTTCATCTTTTAAATTCCACATTATGTTGGTATGGATCTCTACTAGGCAATAAGTGGTGCTCTCCTGAGTGTCCTTCAGTGCAGGCACTTCAGATTCTTCTGGAAAAAGGAATAAATGCCTTTGGGCTTGAGTCAACTTTTGGGGCTAGACATCATTAGGTGGTAGATTGAGCAGGGAGGACGTTGTTCTCAAAGTGTCCCTGGTTAGTGATATTCCCAGCGGGGAAGTATCTGGCCACCACAAAGGAAGAGCCGTCTGATGCAGTGGCCTTACCGACTCCCAGCTTATTACTGCTCTTCCACACCATTGCTGTGAAATGGCCTAGAATAAGACACAGAAAGACATTAAAGGCAGCAAAAGCAGGGGTGGAAAACTGACTGTTAGGACAGGGTAGAAGAAGCTAAGTGTGGTTCCTCTAAATATTTACAGACTAAGGAATTTTAGTTCCTCTCTCACTCATCAAATTCAAACCTCCCGTAGCTTACTTTTGATTCCTTTCTTCTGCTATACCAGGCAACTTTATATGAATCACTGTTAACAAGCTCCTACGTAGGAGTGATCTGCTTCATGTGTGATCAAGTTAAACAGACTCATGCACACTGGAGTCTGATGCAATGGGAAAACATCTGGGGGAATTAGGCCCGACTGGAAATGACATGTGAGCTGAGGAGTGATACAGAGGACTGTGAATCCCCTCAGTTTCCCCATGGCTGCTCACTGAGTCAGACAGCCACACTCTGACTGAGGTGTGACATCAACAGGATATTTACATTGCCCATGCCTGGGATAACATAGCACAGAGAAAGAGAAACTGACAACAAGTAAATAGAATATATCAAGGAGAAACAGAGCCAGAAGTAGATTCATTGAGATAAATGCAAACAAAATGTGTCAAGATGCAATGAAAACATGTTTTAGGGAAGTGTTTGATACAATGTGTTTGCAAAGATTAAGCACTTAGTCCTACATATGGAGATACAAAATACTGATGTTTAAATTAATATTTGCACACTCAGGTTTAACTGAGAATAACTGTTGTAATATTTAAAAAGACATTTTTCCCCCCTATTCTGTTAAATATTAAGTGTTTCTTTTTGTTTCAGCGCTTCTAAAAATGATTTCCCGTCCAGTATTAATTAATCTACTGACCTTTTTTCCTTCATTAGTTTTTGATTCATTTCTGGGATATTAGGCATCAGAACATTATTTAAAATGACACATTTAAAAGCCAAGTTTGGCATTTTTCTGAAGAATGGCTTGAACAATTAATCAATCATATATAATGGCTGACATTATCGAAAACTAAAGTAATAGTTTCAGTGTTGTACAAATGAAACTTTTCTAACCTAATGTTCGTTGTTTCAGTGTATATTAATATCAGAACAGTTTTAATGACTACTTTAATTTTCCTGAATTTAAGATTGGTTAAATGCGTTGTTATGGTAAGGCAAGAGGAGGTTTGACACTGGCTGAAATATGAGAGAAAGTGATAAAGACAAACAGGCACTCCTGTAAAATCTCACCAGTGCCAGAGGAGAATCCAGGACGGTTGAAGTTGTACTGTTTCACTTCATCATACCAGCGGTCTGTGACATCTTTTCCTGCATGTACATGAAAAAAAGTGTAACTTAAAGAACAATTCAATCCCTTTTTTGTTGTGCATATTGATCAGAATGACAGCTATAGAAGTCTGCACCCTCGAGGAACAAATCTCGCTTGGCACATTTCAATGCTGCACTTTTTGTCACCCAGTGCAGCATTGTAGGAGATGTTTTATGAATCACACAGTCCTGCGCTGACATATTTCTGCAGTGAGTCATGGTGTCTGGGCTCTCAGTGCCAAGTGGAGGGGAAATAGATCCCAGCTGTTCACTCTCAGGGTAGAACAATCTGCTTTAAGCCCCTTAGACTAAACCATTGTATGTAATGTATGGAGTGATGTGTTTCAGGAGGAGCACACAGAGTATCATGCAGTGTCATCAATAGCATGGTGAGTATTTATGTACTGTATGTACCTGATTGGTCATAGGAAGCCCATGCCAGGTTTTCTCCAAAGTTCCCTCTACTGGACTCAGCACTGTGTTTCAGGATCCGTGTGCTAGCCAGACTTTCAGCATAGCTGTTGACAGAATTAAAACAAGTTATGGATAGCACTGCTGAAATGGTCTTTTCCTGCAACATAACCCACTCTTGTAACTGTGAGTAATGCCATATCCTTTAATCTCATCCCTTTTTAAGATGTAAGCTCCTCAGTAGTCTATAGTTTTTAAAGCTCACTGCTGTCCACCACCCTTCAAGATACACAGTGAAAAATCCTTCCCTCAGATTTTTAATCCAGGGAAAAATGAAAAGCCTACACTGAAACCAATTCCACTAAACATGGTTTTGGTAATTGGGTTGATATTATTACTGTTCAAAAGCACATATTGGGATTATACTATTAGTTGCAGAATGACAAAGGAGTCACTTATAGGTAATATCAAAATGGTTAATGCAGTGACAGTATTTACTATAATTGACAAATTGTGATGTTGTGAAACAAAATTGTTTCTCTATTTTATCGATTGTATTGACAATCATGTGACTGCCATGTGACTTGTCATATGGATGTTCCCCTTCAAAAGAGTTAATGATGATTTTCTGATTAAACACAAGCTCCAGCTCTTTCCATATCGGTCTAATTAGCTTTCGAACGTATTTTATTGAATTGAGTTATATTCATTAAACTTTATAGTAAAATATAAACTTCATTTCTAAATCTACAGTGTCAATATTGTCTTAACTATCTTCCTGAAAGAGTTGCATCATTTAGGAAGTCCCTTCGCAGAGGCCTGTTTACACAGAGGGAGAGGTAAAAGCACCATTCATCTGTGCTGCGCTTTAAACTCTACTCAAAACTTAAATATTTACCACCATAGTTATTTTCAATATATACTGTTTTCAGCATAAACTGTATTCAACTGAGGTGTGCAACTGTTGTGCTTGTAATGTCAATGTACATTCCCATTACTCATGTATTATTCAACCTTTGCTTGACCAGATAACCGAGGTAAAATTCAAGAATTAAAATCTGGCCAAAATACCCTATCAGTATCAGGTGAAATCCCTGATAAAAATCCCAGTTTGTTTAAAAAAATCTATGTTAACCTTTACACTATCAAGCATGCTCTAGGAAATCCCTCTAATAGATTGCCTCTATCTATCCTGACAGCACACAAGTTTGCATTTAATCAACACAATAAACTGTCAACATTACAGTACTGTATATTGTAATCACACTAAAAAATATCCTCAATGTCTTATTATATTAAGTGGTCATTTTATTTGACAGGCTGGAACTGTCACTGTTACCCAGAGCAGTCTGACAGTGACAGGTATGCATAGTCCTTGCTAATTAGGTTTCTGATGTGATCTGTGCGTTAACCCACCGGGTGGCTTCTTTGCTCAATTTGCTGCTCAGCTTCAGTGAAGATGCCTGGTGTGTCTTCCTGAACTCATTATGGCACTGCAGCACCTCGTCAGAAAACTGCTTCGAGGCTGATGGACAGGGAGGAGAGAGACAGGAAGATTAGACATCCAGAGAGAAAAATCTGATAAAGGAGACGTCATGATGCCTCATGAAGACTCGTGCACGGCTGCAGAATACTCAAGCTGAAATGTGGAGTCACCATCTGAAGACCTATAGGCCTACTGACCTCAGACAGTGAATACAACTCGATGACAGATGATGGAGTATAAAAACGTCATCCATACCCCCCCCCCCCCCCCCCCCCCCCCTCTCTGCCTGGTGCCTATCACTCACTGGCCTTTTCATAAGTCCCACGATCTCTCAAGTGCTCACACAATAGGCACATTGAAACAGCCCCACAAAACAATCCAAACACAAATGCTGCCTTACAGCATCTACTCAGCAAGATGAATGTTACTGCAAGTCAGGATCAGTTAAAGCCATTTTTAAATTGCACTGTAAGCATCATTGAAAAGGAAAATAAGTAAGTCATTTATTTAGCAGCTTTGTATTTCCTCTGTCCCATTTTTCAAACAGAGCATAGCTCACAAACACCTACAGTAAACAAGCTAGCCCACACACACAAATTCATGGGGGCAAAGTTCTAACTCAGGCCAAATTGATACAATCAGAGTTAATATCCTCAGCATGCTGTTTCCACTTACCTGACTTTCCCATGGTGCTGACACAGGAAGCCTTCAGTAAGATCTGTAACAGTCTTAGCACTGAACAAAAGCAGCCTCTCGTCTTGTTTTCTGTTCCTGCTCTCTTTCTCTGTTGCTTGTTCCCTCTCACTCTCTTCCTTTAGTGCAGTCAAACACTGATGCCCTGAAACAGACGCCTTTATTTCGGGGCCTTTTCGTCAAGTCCTGTCTCATTCCACATTGAAGTCACAGCAGTTGTGCAAAGTTCCCCCTTAGCTATTTATCTGAGCATACAGATCCTGATGTAACTTCCTTGTCAAATGTTGTTTCACATCATTGAGCTAAACCCGCCTGTCTCTCTTTAAGCCACACACCCTTCTATCTCGATATATCTGCTGGCCCTATACGTCTATCTTTACGGCTCAGAGGAACACACCCACTCTTGTCTTTACATTCCCACAAACGAAAGGGGAGCCCCTGCAGACGTTGATGACATCATCTCTGTGAGACATATACCCATATATAGCTCTGAGATTCTCGTTTTCTGTAACTTTGTAACCATGAACAAGAGAATGTTACTCTTAGCAACTGTAACCAGGACAGTGGCTTTCCTGTCATGATGCGAAATTGTGAGGTGCCACTGTGGACAATATCAACCTTTGATACACACAGTTTGATACAGAGATACTCAGCTGGCTTTATCAGATAAAAGGAACAATTACTTTTCACCCATAACTTTTTAGGAGACATTCAAGGCTAAACAGGGGCAGGGCTTGTGCAAGCTCAACTTGGCACTCAGGCCGCAATTTGAGTATAGGCCTACGGCTCTTATTTCTGAACTGCTGACTTTCTGAAAAATTATTTCACTTTTGCTTATGCTCATCATACTTTGAAGGTGCTTTGGTCATAAAAATAGTCGGAGACTTTCCCCTTTCATCTTTCCGTTTCTACAGGAACTTCCAGATCCAACACATTCGATTATTAATGAGGGATCCTTTTATGTCCACCCAGGATGAAAAATAAATGATTGAACAATTTGCCTAGTGCAGTTGACACATAGGGAGAGGCAGAATCACCATTTATCATGCTGCACAACAGGTTTCTACTATTTGCTTTTCCTGTATGAGGTACGCTACGATATGCTTCCCCCCTGCTTTAATGGCATTTCCGAACTGGCATATCTATCATTGGGGGTAAAAGACACCTTTAACAAAAGCAGAAATGGTGCGAAGGAGAAAATAAAAATGGATTGCCTCATATTTTAGTGTACTTCATAACTCACATTTGTGTCTCCATTTTTTGTACATGGTTACAGCTTGTGGAAAGAATAAATATATATATTAAATGCCCTTTGTAACACCCTCTAAATCAATAAGACTTCCTTTTGTCAACGTGTTCTGGTGTAACTGCCTTAATGTGTAAGAGGTCAAACGAATGATCATCACTTTGCTAAAATTACATAATAATAATAATAATAATAATAGAATAATAGATTAAATGTTTATAGCACCTTTCAAGGGAATACACATGGTGCACTTACTAGTTAGGTCATGAATGTGTAGCTATTCCAGCATGTTTATCACTTTCAGATAAAATATTTTAACAATTACATGGATTATCATGAAATTGTGTACATCCATGATCACCAGAGGATGACTCTTATGTACTTTGTTGATGCCTTGTCTGTTCCTTTAGCGCCATCATCTGGTCAAAATCCCAACAGGCCTACTTTGGTTTACCAGAACAGACCAAAATAATATAATCCCAATCATTCCCTAAATATTATCATTGTGTCATTGTGAGCATATTGCTGTGCTAACATTAGCATTTAGCTCAAAGCACATGCTGTTTAGCCCAACAGAACTAATGGTATGCCAGTCCACCCTCAGTCTTGTTTAGTCTTTTCCTTTTGCAACCTTCTGGAAATGTAACTGTCTTGGTGCAATGGTGCCATTTATACTGTGAAAACAGGAAATGATACTTAAGCCATGTCATAATAAGCAGAATGGCAGTAGAAGCCTTTATCTTTATCAAGCCATGAGTCCTCATAAGGCAACCCCCCCCCCCCCCCCACAACGAAGCCAGATAGTCAGCTGGCGATGAATCATTGCACCAGAACTCCACACAAGTAAAAACATTGTGGTCACAGGAAGCTGTTCACCAACATTGAATGAAGAAGAATCAAATTGTACTTATTTATTGATTCCTTGTTATTGAGGGTATTGGAAATGCAACCAGAGCTCCTGATAAATCATATTAGTCACCAGCCCACGGCCTCCAGAACATACATTTCCTGGATATAAAGTACTAATAGGCCTACATACCGTAAATATATACCATTTTCGGTCCATGTAGAAAATAACTGCTCAAAGGGACCTCTCTTTCCTTTTAATCTTTTCTTGTTTTAACAGATGTCAAAACAAAAAGGAGTCGTCTCTGAGATTCAGTGAGACAAATACATGTGTCTTTACAAAAAAATATAAAATGTATGGTAGGACTATTATTGTGCAATGTGAATCTTTATACTTCTCTGACCCCTTGCATGTGACCCTTTGTAGTGTAATTATTGAAACAGCCACAAGGTGGGACTGTTAGCAAAGACACTGAACAAGGACGTTTTTGGACTATTAGTCACACTAAGTGCAACTAATGACATCTTAGTTTTATAATATGAGTGGACATGATGGGATTCATGTGAAAAGTCAAGCCACTTGATTTCTCATTAGCTGGATAGTGCTATCTTAACAAATTGATTTCCTTCTTGGTTCCTCCTACCATCTGCAAAGTGATGGGACTGGACAGCTGGAGGAAGACATTTACATTGTGGTCCGGAGACACTGAGACACTGACACTGAGACACTGAGCCATACATCTTAATTCATACTAATTGATATAGCTGTGTGTGCATTTGTGTGTATCTGCTGTGTGAGAGTGTGTATTTGAGTGCACAAGCAGTATGGGGGATGGGGATGTGATTTATGGAGAGATCCCCTTTTAGAGGGACAGTACAGACATCGATCCATGCAGATATTACATCATTTATCTCTGCACATTGGCTATATCTGCTGTACTTATTGCTTGGCTCCCCTCCCTATCAGCTGCAACATAATTCCTTCGCTTCTCCTCTCCTCCCCATCACTCTCTCTCTGTCTTTCATCCCCTCCCTACCTCCAATCTGTATTTTAATTTTTCTTTACCTGGAGCCCCTAATGAAAATCTTCCAGCAGACCCTTTTTGAAAAGAAGATATCACCCAATTCTTTCTGGGCCAGAAATAATTTTTCCACTCCTGTCATGACAGAAGTGAAAGTGGATTTATGGCAACAGAAATGTGAAATAACTCTTACTGGGGCTGTAAATGCAGTTCGTTGAATATAATTCCTCTTTAGCGGTCCCAGGAGGAAGTTGAGGACTTTTTTAATAACTCCTTCCATTCACCTCCATCCTCATTAAGAGGTCTAGTTGAGTGAAACTGGAGAGATCTACAGAGGGGGTGTTGAGAGGATTGATCTAAACTGAGAGAAAGTGAAGTGAGGGGGCTGTACTTTTTCGAAGGAGTTGTTGGAAGCTCTCTCTCCAGAGCTCTGCTCCAGAGTTTGACACATCAAGAAGCCTTTAATGGTGCCATTAGTGTAACTGTTCCTCCGAGGACAAATGATTCTGCGGGTTAAGAGGAGTTAATCAGCTGCCAATCAAACCTCATCAAGCTGCCTTTACGGATGAGGCTCTATACAAATCTCATCATATTTACGGAGCCTTCAATTAAGCAGACACAGGCGAGGAGACACATGCAGAGAGGAGAGAGTGACAGGGTGCAAGCAGAGGGCAAGATGGTAGCAAAGGAAGAAAGACAGAGATAGAGGGAGACAGTAAGCAGAGCCGGACGACTCCTGTCTGACACTAAGCAGCAGAAATGTAATGTCTTAAAAGGCCATCGCAGTCAATAAAGTTCCTAATGTGCTTAAAGCAATTACTGTGTCCGGAGAGGAGCAGAGTGTATGCAGGATATTAACCTCAGTAACCCGCTCTATCTGGTCCATAATTAAATTATCCTCACATTCTCATTCTAATACAGAAACACAAACACAGGCACACATGATCATGCAAGCATACATTTAAGCATATTCACATAAAGTACATGCTGAACCGTATCCAAACCTGACAAGAGAGGAACAACATAATAAAAACAAGTGAAAGTATATAGAGAGATGATCCTTTTTTTATGTAGCGTCTCTCTGATAGTGTCAATGGTCTCAACTTCTTATTAGAGGACATCTTTTTAACAGCTTCATTCAACGGTTCCTTAGTTTTCTATTTTCCTATAATTTCCTAGAAACAAACTGAAGTCTGAGCATAAAGTCATTTAAAGATCCCTTTAAACTAATTTAGTAATAATGTTCTAATTCAGTGGAAAATGTAGATAGTTGAACTGGTCTCTAGAGAGACAAGCGATTCAATCGATAAAAGCAACGTAGATAGGTAGCTCATAATTACATTTCAGTGAAATAATGAAATAGAGAGTATATATTTATTTAGGTTTAAAGAAAAACAAATCCAACAACCCATCCTTTTTTTAAGAGCTTTGGCAATATTTTACCAAACAATTTGAACCAAATTGAACCAATTGAACCAATTCTAGCAAACTCCATTACAGAAAGAAGTGCTAAGGAAAATAAAGCCATTCATTGGTAGATCATTTTCAATTTCCTCTTTGCTTTCCCTGTGTACACAAGCCCTGTAATCCTGGCTGACATTTAGATCTGCTGCTTGTTTCCTCAACTCATTTTCCTTTCTCATTTTATGTATAGTCTAATTTAAATAGCTATGTCCATGTAGTGTAACTAATAAGCTCTTCAAGTTGATTTAATGCTGTTTAATAGTTGTCATACAAAATGCTATTTGCACAGCCAGAGAGACATTTTGAAGTATTTCTGCTGAAAATAGCTTACCACCCTTAAGCATTATGAATGAGCCGTCGGTGGAGCTTTCCTCTGAATCTGGTAGTTGGACTGGGCAGCAAGATAATGTAGTATTTCTGGATGGTGCTTCTTTGGTTCATTTTGTTGTTGTGTTTGTATTGTTAGGTAATATGGGAACTTCATGCTGCAAAATTGGTCTTATAATTATGTGTATATGTGTGTGTGTGTGTGTGTGTGTGTGTGTGTGTGTGTGTGTGTGTGTGTGTGTGTGTGTGTGTGTGTGTGCATATTGTTTGCCATGCTGAGGAGGACTCCATAGTTCTGGCCAGACGATACTCGATGATAGGCTGTCTGGAAAAAAGGTGTTAGCCCATCAACAGACTGTCAACCACTTTCTCTCACACACATTTTTAAGCACATATACACGCACACACAAATACAATATAGCTATCAAGTACTCCTAATACAGAGCTGAAGATATAGGGAAGATATTTCCAATAGTTACCCCCAGTCTGTTG